ATTTTAGTTGTAACTGAGTATGTTTCTGAATTGATAGTTTTCATTTAGAAAGTAATTTCCACATAAAAAAACTTACTAACGCATATCACTGAAATCGAAAGAAAATTTTGTGTGGTATTATTGTGGCAATACCACACATCAGCCTCTCTGTTGAACGAATAGCGAATATGCGGGCTCAACCAGGATACCATAAACTCTTTGAAGATCGGTGTGAAGTGGTATTATACTTTTGAAGTGGAAGTAATATAAAATTTTCAGTATGTTACTAAAGATGTTATATTACTTTCATTGTTATATTTCTATTTCATTTTGAAGTGTTCCCTGATGTAACTCCAGAATTCAACTTCTAACACTAATGAAATTAATATCGGACCACATGGGGGCTAAATAAACCAAATACAATTCAAAAATAATTTTTGAAATCAGTTCATAAAAGACGAAGTTGTGAGTTATAAAAAAAAGAAAAAAAAATGACATAGTTCTTCTTTAAAGTTGAAATTGAATAATTCATAAATAGTTGATAAGCAATAAATTGAAAATTATGATAACCGTATCAAACGGATAAAAAAATCGTCATGAATATCGGATTACAACAATTTATGTCAAAAATTTGTACCACCATCGTGGTAAAATAAGTAAGCGTTCATACCTAGTTGTTTTTTACCTAACCAAGATTTACTCACGCATAAACAGATTTCATAAGAATTCATAAAACAATAAATGTAAAATTTTCAGTGTAACCGTGACATATGTATCGCTCATAAACTGGGCATTGCTTCATCAAAAGGAAAAATTGATAAGAATGCGTTAAAACGTTACATAATACAGAATCATTTTAATAACGGAACCGGATTGACAGAGACAATTATAGATAAGTGTGTCAATGGAGACATAAGTAAATATGGCCCAGCCGACATCTGCGAATTGAAGAAGTTGAAACTTTGTATGCACTTGAGATTTATGTCGGTATGTAAATTTTGCGTATTCTTATAGCCGGTCACAATTTCATTACACAGTTGAGTTGCTTTTGAAGGAAAAAAAAACCGGTGGCGGTACTAATGAAATTGTAAATAAAAATTATTTATTTCAATTGATATCGAGTGCTTTAGAATTAAAATAAAGCATATTTCTTTTAATTCTAAAGCGCTCGTTCAGACAGACTTATATTATTTTTAATAATATTTTTATAAATAATTCTTTGTTATAGTTATGCAGTAAGTGGGATAGAAAATTATATTGTGTAAAAGTAACCGAACTAACGGAAAAATGTGTAAAATTGTATATATAGGTAAGTAAAGACTATATAAAACCATTACAAGAATAATTTAATTATTACATTCTTGTCTTTTTCTCCAGTAAGTCCGGTTTATTACGGGACAAAAACTTAATTATGAAAAAGTATTTATAAAAGAATCGAATCTAATAGCTATTTCATTTATTTCGCTTAAAAATTAGATTAAAATTAATTTTATTTATTTGATTTACTTTTCACATAAAGTAAATGAATATCATATTAACACGAAACGTGTTGACTTTTTCTTTTGTGGAAATATTTGATCGTGAGTACTCGTATTGAGTAAAATCTGTCTCAATACGAGGAATGATTTATGTTCTAAATAATAATGCTTTTTTCTAATAGTAGGTTTTTTTAATAAAAATTAAATTCATTATACTTATTCAATTAAAGCAAAGACTGTATTAAAGTTGACTATGGAGTGCTTAGCTCCGGCTTAGAATTTGATGACACCGTGGCACAGTTGCCAAGGTATTGGCTTCGTCGTCGGGGGTCGTGGGTTCGATTCCCACACGGGACAACTATTTGTGTGACCCACAGGTAGTTGTTTCGCATCTGGGTGTTTGTCCGCGTGAAATTTATGTTTGTAAAACGTCCCTACAACACAGGATAATGTTATCCAAAAGTAAAGGCAATGTTTTTTAAAAAAAAAAAAGAAAAGAAAAAAAGAAGAATAATATGCTGGACCCGAAGAGGGTAAATGAAACGAAACTACTAGGAGATCATTTTTTATTCTGAGTAGACTTGTAACAATCTAACTTATAGCTATGTGTCAAATCACTTAATTACCTACCATAATGACTACATCTTGCTAGGTGTAATTTTTGCACTATTGATGCATGCAATATTTGAAATTTTTTTTTTCAGAAATTGCATAACATTTTACTCCGATTTTTTTTTTAATCTGATGAGTCGTTGTTAAACCAATAGATCTAAAACAATTTTCTAACATTTGTTCTCTGAATAGAGTAATGTTGCCATATTGGGTAAATAAATGAGGTCGTAGAAATTTTAATAAAGTTATATACTGGGTCTTAAATTCATCTTTCATGAATAAAAATAAACTATCACAGATTGATACTGATTCAATATAGATTTATGGACAACCTTGTACATTTCCGTAACGCTTTATTTAGATTAATCCATTTAAGTAATAGGATAAGGTTAAGAACGTTTGACACAGCCGCGTCTATCATAAAATACCAAAAAAATAACTTAAATAAAATAGGTAACAAGCAGCTGCAAACGTATTGCCACTTCTTATGTACGTACGAAATACAAAAAATAAATCGATTCATTAAAAAAATAAGTCTAATTATTTTATCGCATTAATTTTATAATGTACAAGCAAGTTTTGCATATCAGTTTTACTTAACAGTGTGCCAGGATCTAGGTCATTAAGTAAAATTTTAGGCTAAAAATGTTTTTAAACACAAATTATTATACTTAAAAATTAAGGAGCAAGCATATTAATAAATAAAGTTTAAGTATATTTAATTACATGTCATATAATCAGGAGCAGCTATTTATGTACCAAACGCCAATACTATTTGATTAGTTTATAGCCTTGGCCCCAAAGAATCACTTAGATATTTGTATAAAGGGATGAAGATACTGACTGTTTCTTCTCAGTATGAACTATTTAAAATGTTATGTCCATTAAAAATATAACACAGAACATACTAACGTAGTACATGATACAAATACTAGGATCAGAAAAAAAATTTTACACACAACTAGACTGTGTAGAATAAGTAAATCTTTTATGCGACAATGTCTCGTTTTTACAACAAAATCCCAGAAAACGTTCGGGATGTATCAACTGATTAAAAAACACACTCTCAAACTGAATCGATTACTCCAGGCTCTTTACTTTAGTATATTTCTAACAATACGTTCCCCCTGTTAAAAAAATGGTAAAAAATATTATGCCACTGTGTTTCTTTCTCAGGCCAGTGGACTTTCAAACCCAGTATTTTATATTACCTATTTGTCAATCAATAGTATTTTAACAATCATGCGAGTTAAAATGTATTGAAAAAAGTACGAAAAGTTATTCGCCGCTGTGGGTGGAATCGAACCCACGTTTGCGAGACACGCGCCGCCTTTATAAAATAATTGAATGTTTGTAAATAAAATATTATTGTTGAACGGAAACTTTTTAACATGCTTTACAAAGTGTAGGCGGAAGTGTTATGATGTAAATTAACTATAACGTTCATTACCTTGAGCTGACTAACAACGAAGGTCACGTATTATACTTTGCTATAATATTAACGCAATACTACACTGCATCACTAAATATCACACACTTTAAAACTATTGCATTAGATATAAATGCTCAGACAAATTATAAAAATAATTATATATATATATATAAATATATATATATATATATATATATATATATATATATATATATATATATACAGGGTGTTACAGAAAGATGTTGTAACATTTAAAGGCGTGTATATATATATATCAGACTTTGATAAGCACGGGTGTGCGGTTGACTCAGTAAACGCTGATCTCATTAGAAAGTCTAGGTATTTAATAAACATCATTTTATACCTTACACTGATCTTAATTAAAAAATATTCTTGTTATTGTTATCCGATTATGTATCATAGATGTCGTGTTGAATAAACTCATCGGCGTTGTATGATTTGTTACCTTTCAAAATGTCATTGTAAAGCCTTTAATGTTTATTCCAAAGTTTCAATAGTAATTAGTTGTAAGTAATTGTTAAAATCGTGGACATGTTTGACCGACTATAGGATACTATTAATAATGCCATGTAAAAATTGTTTTTATGTCCGACGCGGACATGTACTTAGAATAATAAAAGTAGTAAAAACAGTGTCTTTCTTTTATTTCCCGATAGTGAATACTTATTCAGGAATCAAAAGAAAAGTCAATCAGATTTTATTATTAAGCATCGCCGCGAACTGCAGCGCGATGCGGTCGTCGTGGCAGTTTGGCGACGGGTGGGGTCAAGGTTACCGAGGTGGGGTAATGACGTAACGGAGAGTGGAGGGAGAGGGGAATAAGTCGGCCGATCAGATGTATGCGTGTGTGAGTTTGGAGTGATAACACCGATGCGCGGTCAGTGACTTCTACAATCAGGGTTGTTACAGTTAATTAATTTTTTAATTTATATCGTCAAAAAAGGCTTAGATTCGTATTTTAAAATTATGCCATTTGATTCAAAGTCTGATATATACCCACGCCTTTAAATGTGACAACACCTTTCTGTAACATCCTGTATACACATATATATATATATATATATATATATATATATATATATATATATATATATTAAAAAATAAATAATATCCATTATATGCAAGATTGGTGCCGAATTCGGACTTTTGACGAATTAAAACATATGGTATGTGTATGATTACATTATTTCACGGATAGTAAAGTCACTAAACAGGTGATAATACAAATCTATTTTTTTGCCATTAAAGCATGTTTCTCCTTATTAAACTTTAACTTAATACATTGTTCTCTTATCCCCGTTTCATTGCTGCGGTCGGGTTCAATTTACTGAGTTTAATTAACTGCCACTTCCGGAAGGCACATAAAACATGGTGTTAAAAAGTTTCATTATTTTGCCCTAGTTAAACTATAACAAACCTTTATAGAAGATTCACAACCACATACACGATTTGATTGATTAGTTCTGTTTGGGTCCTTAATCTAAGAAATAGAATAGCAAATATAAATTTCAAATTTACTATATTGACTAATATACTGAGCATTGTTAAATCAAAGCGAACAGTTTCAAGGATTTAATTTTAATTAGCTTTTATTTATTTTTAGATTCCCGATGTACCAAACACTTTAGAACACATACAGGAAAAGACTGACTAACAAAAAATTCAACAAATCTTGCAAGCTAGATACAATCATTACAGAACAGATGTTTCAGTACAGAATGAAACTCAATATGAAAGAATGAAATTAAATGTCATAAAAGCTCGTGTAACCACGGATTATAGTAAATAACGGAAGCACATCCCTATCAGTCATCGCAGTTTTAATTATTTACTAGCTGCTGTCCCGCGACTACGTCTGCGTATAATAGGCTGAAGGCGTAACATTCAGACAGAAAAACAGATATACATAAAATATGTATATAAATTATAGCCTATGTCTTATTCTGATGTATAAGCCATATTATAGTAAATTTTCATTAAAATCCATTCAGTAGTATTTGCGTGAATGAGTAACAAACATACATCCATCCATAAATACATCGTTCTTATCTTTCGCCTTTATGATATTAGTAAGGAAAAGTAAGGAAGTAAGGAGTTAATTCTCGTAAATATCATCGTATTTTTAAACAACATTAACAAAGACAATAAGATCAAACTGGCATTTCTATAACCTTGATCACAATAATTATAAAAAGCAGTCATTGTGGGTACAAATTAAGCCTTACATTTAGTAAATCATAAATAAATGTAATTGAATAGAAATTAATATTTTAGAAATTTTTTAATGCGAACAAGGAACTTGTTAGAGTAATCGAAAGTAAGGTGGTGCCGTAACAACAAGAATGCTACCAATCTATGTACAATGGTAAACAATAGTAATCCAAGTATTTGCGTTTTATATGTGTCATTTTCCATTCCAAGCTCACGGAGGACGATCGAAGGGTCCACATATGGGCACATGTCTTGATTACAGTGCATTAAGGTGCGATTTTGGTATAATGGCAACGTAAGTCCAACGAGTCCGTATCTTAAGAAAGATAGGGACATCAGAGCTTTCATACTTGGCTCAATGTACATCCCGAAGCCCATTCCATAGCAACACAAAACTAGAAGTGGCGATACGATAGCCGGCCCTAGGATGGATCCATTCTGAAAAGATAAACGTAACAAAACCGTTTATTGTCCACAAAAAACAGGAACATTTAAATCTAGACAAGCAGCAACGGCTTAAATCTAACTTTAACTAAACTAACGACAGGCATCGTTAGGGACGCCAACGTCGGCAGCAGTCTACCGAGAGCTACTACTGCTTTAACAACTTTCGGAGCGAGACGCTCAAAATGGGCACAGAAGTCCCATTGGAGATCTAGGACTAGACCGACATACTTTATAGGTTGTTGGTAGGTTGTACGTCGACACGACCGCCAATATTACAGACTAATTAGGGTATTTACTTAGGGAGTAAATTCAACTTACCGTGGCATTTAACGCAGACCCAATAGCTAAACCAACTCCCTCAGAACAAAATCCCGTTAAAAGCGCAGCAAACAGAAATAAAATGTATCTATTCCATTCAAAAAGCTGACCGGACATGACGTATGCTATTGTTGTAAAAATCGTTCCAAAAAATATCTGAAAATTAATAAAAAAAATTATAAACAATATTCGTTGTATTTTTGAACAGGTAATTTATCAACACTTATTAACTACGTTTAAATCATTGTATATGGAAGGAGTACAGAGATGATTAACTTTTAACGAACTTTTTTACGTAATACTAAAACATAATTATTTTGATTATATTTTTGTACATACGGCCGAAGGAATCGTCGAAAACGTCAGTGCAGCATAGAAAGCTTTAAGTCCATACCATTGATTAAAATACTCTCGGCGCATGATCCGTATCTCGGTCGGAACTGAAATAATAAGTTTCTGTTTAGTTTGATTTTACTAGCCAATTCATTTTGTACTGGTAATTTTTTTTTTCTTGTAGATTTATTTAAATTTAATTTCCTGCGTTCTACTATTTAAATTAAAGTAGCTGTGCATTTTTCATTGTCAGTTTTTAGCGTCGTTTTCACTTTATCTTGCAAATCTATTTCTTGTAAATAGCAATCAATATAACTGCATGTCTCAATTTATATGATTTACCAACGGGGATCGAGAGCTGTATTGCTAAGTATCTCCTCACTTCGTAACAATCTAAGCTACACACTGTATAATTCAGTAAAAACACGATATATAAAGAAAACAAAAATAATAGTAAAAATGAAGAGGCGTAACTCTCTCACTTTCTATTTTCACTAACTTATGTCTCCCTCTCAACTTCCGTTCGCCTCGCCCGATCACACTTTTCGTAACGCTCTCGTCACGCATTTACCAGCTTACTCCCCAAGTCAAGCGTGCGTATTAAAGTTATTCTTCAAAATTGTTTGTTGTTGTAATAAATAAATGTCTTTATTACTCACAGAGCAAAATGGGTATCATTGCGTGTGTGTAGACAAAAAATACTAAAACACTAAGGTAAAATTTGCAATTAGCCATAGGAGTGCTGCCTTCATTGCCGACAAGATAAAATATGCCACCCATCAGAATAGCACAGAAAAGATATGTCGATAATTGTATCATCAAACTTATCTGCAACAAAAACGTATATTATTTATATGTTCAAAATTAAGTGTGGTAGTGCCCGCGCCGTGTAGTCTTCGCTGTTGCACGGAGGGGCGGGTCAGTCCGGGGAAGTCCCACTACCTTACAAAAGACTGGCGTGAAGTGGAAGTGTTACACTTCTTTGCTTCTCTTGGTGAGTGAGGTAACCCGGGCCCAATTTATTAAAAAGGTCTGCAACCCTACAGATGTTGCAAATATCTATGGACAGAGGTTATCGCTCAACATCAGGTTAACCACCAGCTAGCTTGCTACCTTCTTAAACAAAGAAAAGAAATCGCTATATTTCGGGGCATTTTACCTTGTTAAATCTTTATTTACCAATGATCAACTTTTCAATTTATTCGTCATAATTAGCATTAAAATTGTAGGTATTTTAACGATGCGATTGTATTGTATTAAAATTCAAAGAATAATTTATGAATTCTTTGTAAATTTGAATACAATCGTATTAGTAGATTGGCTATTAGCGTTAATTCAAAAATACATAGAATTCACCTCACCTTATTCCGTTTACCTTGAATATACATTCGTTTCATCAAAATGATAAATTGTGTAAAAAAGGATGTGGAAGAACCCATAATTTGCATTTGTTCTTTAGTAAACTCCTGACTTGTTTCTTTCTTGTCATTTATTACCATTATATTTGTCCTGAAAAGTGTGTTAACGAGTAATTCTATTATAAACGAGTAATTTTATTTTCGTGCAAGTCTCTGCAGTATGAAAATAACTGAAATTTGTAGATAAAACTGTCATAAATGTTTTTTGTTGCTGTCTACATTCAAACCTGCGCCTTCTCGATTACTCAACCGGGTGTTCTAGTCATTAAGCTTAGCCATTGACATTTTCGCTTGGACTAAGCTAATAAGCGACAGTTTGAATGAATGAATGGATGAATATTTATGTTAGTTTCAACAACTAACACAGTTATGTGTTTCATGAAAATATTTTAAGTTTATATAATTTTTTTTTTTTGTTTACAATCTTTATTGATCTAATATTTACAAGATTAAATCTATCTAAAATTACATATTATCTAATAAACCTAATCCACGTGGCATGGTGCCAAGAACGCTAGCTGCATTTCCTCGCTGAATAGTTATGCTTAACCTTTGAGCGAGGAACGAACCAGCTCTCTTGTCACCAGCCGCGGCGTTAAGCCTAGGACATAAACTTTTAAAAAATTTTGATGTGCGGGGACCCAACGGACCTAATGTTTCAACAGCAAATGGCACAAATACATAATCTGAACATAAAGACTCATACTTGCGCCATTTACTTACTTATATAATTTTATAATTCACATCTTTGACGGATTGGTTCAAAAGAGTTGGTTCCGACCTTGTGTTTGTGAAATGGTTAGTCTTTCTGCATATTTTTCCGTTTTCACAAAGCTCCGACATTAGTTTTATTGCAGCGGTTTCATCGGTAAGAGTTTCAATGACGAAATCCGCTGGATTGTGTGAGATGGGGCATACAAATCCAACCTCTGCTAGAAACGGTACAAGCAGCGGGAACGTCCCCTGAAAGGTTAACGTTAATCTCTTTAAATCCTCAAAATACCAAAATAAATTCGGCCTTGAAGTAAAGAATACCGATTTTTAAATAATAAACCCAACTTTAATATTAGGCCTTTACCTATGAAATTGCCATTTTGAGTGAAATAGGTTAAGGTATTTTTTTTCAAACTTTTTTATTTATATTGTCCAAAGTAATCACCCATGCAATCGATACATCTTTCCCAACACAGGTAGGTTATCGATGCCCCTCTTGAAAAAATCGGCTAGACGGGAGGCGGCAAACTTTTCAAAGGCATTTTGTACAATTAAATTTTTTTCTCTAAAAATTTGTCCAAATTTTGGAAAAAATAATAGTCGGTAGGTATCAAGGTCTGGTGAGTATGTCGAAGGGAGAGATTCTAACCCCGACTCTTGCAGCTTGGAGTCTGTCTGTTGTGAAGAATGGTTGACCAAAGCTAGTTGCAGATGTGTCAGCTTCTCCATTATTGTCTTCAGTTCTTCTCAGTACACATCTGCAGTAATGCTCATGCTGTTTAGTAAAAAGCTGTTTTGAATCACACCGGCACTAGACCACCAAACACTGACCATCACCTTTTTAGGGTTCATGAATAGGAATACACAAACGAAAAGTTTAGGGCATTCCTTTGGTGCTGAACCAGGATCTAACTAACTGACTGAGTGCTTTTCATTTTCGAACAGAATCCATTTTTCTTCGCACGTTACAATTCGGTTCAAAATTTCTTCATTCCTGTACCTGTTGAACATTGCGTGACAGGTCTCGACGCGTACGTTGCGCTGGCGATCATTAAGTTCGTGGGGCACCCATCAAGCTTTTTTACCTTGCAAATGGACCAATATTGTTTTGCTGCTAACATCTAAAACTGCTGCTAGCTCAGCTATAGATTGAGTATCATCAACTTCCACAATCGCTTTTAATCCATCATTGTTGACCAGTGTCAGGATGACCACGAGGTTCATTTTTCAAGTCAAAATTTCTAGAAGGACACCGGGAAGACCAATAACGGGTTGTGCGATATTTTGTAAAGTTTTTTCCGTAAGCGGTCTTGATGTTACATACCACTTGTGTTGCATAGGTGCCACGATGGAACTAATATATCATAAATACACGAATTTTTATAGTATCTATTATGACGAAAAGTAATCAATAAACTAAAGACTGACTTTTTAAAAAGACTTTCATATTTTTAAAATAAAATTTATTAGAATTTAGAATTCACAGCCAATCATTATTTTTTTTTGAAAGGGCCAGTGCTGAAAAACGGCAATTTCATAGGTGACGTGAAGACCCAGTATTTTGTTTAGAAATACTCGTACCTAAATACATTTTAGAATATTATTTCTTCTTTCAAAACTTTCGCAAAGCTATTATTTTAGTAAATTATCTGGCGAGTGAAGTAACCAGGGCCTACTTCTTAAAAGATTGTCAGCGTTGGCAACCTTTTGAAAATCTACTAGCCCGCAGGTTTTGTAGACCTCCATGGGTGGTGACAATCACTTAAAATCAAGTGAACAACCTGCTCGCTTGACAACTTTAAAAAAAAAACCGTTCCCAATACCTACTTACATGTAAATAACGTGTAACTTTTCGAATAATGAAACTTGTATAAAGTATAAAACTTTGGATGCAAAGGAAGCCGCAAGCTAACAAAATAAGAGTATATGCTCTCAATGACTACGATGTTAAGATTTTTGCTTACTAGCTGTTCGCCAGCGGCTTCGCTCTCGTTGAAGCCCTTAGATAAATATTTCTCTTTAAAAACTATATATATTTTTTAAAGAAAGATATTTTCAACCCATACATCACTTTTTCCATTTAAAAAATTACAGAAAGCCAAAGGAAGAAAAGCCTATGTACTTTCTCAGGCTCTAGACTATCTGTGTACCAAATTTCATTTAAATTGGTTCAGTAGTTTTGGCGTGAAAGCGAGACAGACAGACAGAATTACTTTCGCATTTATAATATTAGTATGGATTTGTTTATTTTTAAAGATAAGATTTATTATTCTCGGCATTGGTTTTATATTTGTTTTTCACATTCTACATGAAGCCTTATATATATATATATATGTATTAAAAAATACCTGATAACAACATCTTCCTTTACAGACAATATAAACATTGTCGAAAAACTCAAACAGAGAAGCGGATGGCTGATGTATTGTGCAGATCACAGTGCGGCCTTGGCGAGAGAGCATGCGCAGCAAAACTATCAGTTGCCTAACGGATACTACATCTAAACCACTGAAATTTAAATAAATATGTCATAAGAAACAGTAAATAAACAGTATCGAATAATGTTTTATAAGATCATAGGTAACACTAAAATAAAAATAAACATTTTAAATTAATATTATTATATATGTTAGTTATTAAGTATTCATCACATTTGTTTAAATGCTAGGATTAATACATAATATTGTGTTACTTATTATATTGAAGGACTTTTTGTAGCATTTTAGACGTTTTATACTAAAACTAGTAAAGGCAGTACATTCTGCAAATAAGTTTACATATATATCATTTATATAACTGATTGAATTATTTATTGTTATATTTTTCTTAATCTTCATTCATCATGAAAAATACTCACGATGTCGGCTCGTCAAGGAATATGACTGGTGGATTATTAACCAATTCCAACGCTATGGTAAGTCGCCTTGATTGGCCACCGGACAATCGCTCGCAGATGGTGTGCCTATGCTTCCAAAGTCCTAAGGTTTGCAGGACCTCGGTTACCTTTTAAAATACCATATTTTTTTTAACATAGTAAGATTCTAATTGAAGTGAACACCGTGGCGCAGTGCTTCGGCGTCGGGGTTCGTGGGTTGGATTCCCATACGGTACAACTATTTGTGTGACTCACAGATAAATTTTTGGCGTCTGTGTGTTTGTCCACGTGAAATTAATGCTTGTAAAACGTTCTGAGAACACAGGATAATGTTAATCTAAAGTAAAGGCAATTTCAAAAAATAGAGATGTAAATTTCTAGGATTAATTAAAAATTGTAGAAAAATAGACGAAGATTTTCTTACCGCCATGGGAAACGATCCCGTGACCTACGGAATGGTGGCTAGACGCCGACGTCAACTTATTTTATATACATTGTTTTTTCGCATTTAAAAAATGGACGAAAACTTTATTGCTTAAAAACACAATCTATTAGTATGTACAGTCACCTGTGTTCGCGGTGTTCCATTTAAGAAAAGTTTGCCTTAATCCTTGCAACCAGGGAGCGGAACTCCTCCCCCTTCAGCAGGTAGCTAATTAGGATGCATTTGGTATTTATTATCTTAGTGTGCGAACGCCTCGGTAAAAAAATAAAGTTAAAGAGTATATAAGCTCGTTGCGATGCCGTTGTTAACGTTAAGCTTAGTCACCATAACGCGTAAAAGTTAATACGCGAGGTTCAGGCTAGGCGCCTCGAGCGCCCGGCCACCTCAAGTCCGTCGGATCTGTTAAGGCCCCTAAGGCCAACAGTGGCTCATCCAGCCAAAAAAAAAACGTTGTTAACGTAGAGGGGGAACTGACAAAATATTAGACATAATGAACCTTTGAAGGCATACCGGTACTAAACAAAAATTTATTTTACACAGGAGCATAAATAAAAATAACAGTAAAGTACATAAAAAGTATGGATCTCACTTTTTGAATAAGAATAAAACATTGATTTTATTAAGATACATTAATTATATGGAATAATACAGTAATTGATCACAAAAAAAATAAAATTTAATGGAAAAGTATTCTTATAATAATTAAAAGTCATAATGATTTTAAGAGTTTTATTAATTAAAAAATAATTTTTCTAAATAAAATGTTATAGAATAAATAAATATCCATCATTATTTCCTCAAAGCGGCCTTTATTATATTGCAAAAACGCGGTCTATTTATTTAAAGGTGCGATAATATAAAATATTTTTTATAGCTAAGAAAATTTCTAGATTTTATTTCAGTTATTCTGTGATGATAATATGATGTGATATTTCTTGATTTGCATGAATTGTTTGTACTAAATAGAGTGGATTTCATTAATAACGACCTGGGTTGTAACGTCATTTCGGTTATAGCGACGTCAGACTTACGTCTCTTGCATTTAAACCATACTTTCGTAGGAAATTCATTCGGCAACAGCAATTTCGGATACGGCGTGGATTTCCGCTATAGCGACTGTTATTATAAACCATTAATTTGATTTAGATTCCTAGAAATTCCATGCGCATATTGCTACTGAGTCGATAAAGGCACAAAGACTCATTCATAAAACTATTAACCTTTCTTATCCTTTGTTTAGATTAACAGAATGCCAGATGTGCTTGCTTTGTTTGTAGGTAGGACTTAGCACGTGTACCAAGTTGAACTTATGGATCAGATATGTGCTATGACAACGCTAAAAAAGTACTGTTTGTTTGGTGAAGGCAACAATCGCTTGAATATTGGAGAAATTATGAAAATGGAATACAACTTACAGCGTTTGGGGACCAAACGTCGTATTAAGAAAAATCCGCTATTTTATATATACACCTTGGTAGTTTATCATTCAATTGAGATTAATAATAATAACTTAACTGTCTAAATATACGCCTATGAAAGAACAATGCCCTCTAATTTGGCTCTATCCTTGAATAACATGCCTAGAACAAGAATCTTCATACGGCCAATAGATCTGCCAAACACGAAGCCGCTTTTGGGTTTTACCCAACGCCAACAAAACAAAGGCCAAAAAACCAAGGCTTAAATCATAAAGTGGTGATCTTATGATAAGGAGCCATAGCCTATCGTAATTACTGCACCTTTGATATTAACAGTTGTCACACTGGCATATAGCTCATGTCAAGCACCGTCGAGCGACTAGATCTACAGTTTTCGAGCATGCTATAGAAAGTCCAAATAATGCCAAAATAAAATATTTAACATTTATGACGGAACTTGACCTGCAACAATTCTTTCATTGGCCAAAGAAAATGATCATTTTATAAAATTATTATCAGTCACTAAATAGCACTCACAAAAAATGGAGCCTACACAAATTAGTCTAATACTCAGTTTTTACTACAATTATAATGGTAAGCAAAGGTAATCACGGCAATAAATATTTGAATGGAGTGAACCTTTCGTGCGCACACACATTTTAAAGTGTCTTGCTATTCGTTTTTGCATCCGTGTATCGGATGGCCGCCTGCGCTTCGTTCAAACGATTATCGCCCTAAGGGTGGAACACTGCGAGTGCAGGCGACTGTACATAGATTTAATCAAAAATTCACAGTTTAAAGACACCAAACATATTCTAGGATTAATATTGATTTTCCTTACAATAAGGTCCTTATCGTTTTTTGTCAAATCAGTTCCCAGTTTTAGATCGGCAGCAATACGCAAAGCCTCTAAAGTTGTTAGCCGCGGCTGCAGAAGATTGTCTTGCATTATATAACAGCTAAGCTTCTTAAACAGTCTCATGTCACGGGTTTGCCCATTTACTTCAATTGAACCATTGACTCCAATGTTTCTGCAATAGCGAATTATACACAACAAGATAACCATATATTATTCACATTGAATTAGACCTTAAACCCATAAGAGTAATCAATATCACAATTGAAACCAAAGCCACTCCACACGGATCATAAAATTAACAAAATAATACATACACTATGAGGTGAATTAAATAAATATTAAGTCAAATTGTACTCAAAGTTCTACTTGAAAATAATCCTTACTTTTACGTTAGGATGAATTTAAATTTCAATAATAAACAATAATACCCCAGACCAAGCCAAAAAGCTCATGTTATACACAAGAATAATTATAGGTGCTTTCAACAAAGCAAACAGATCGAGCAAACAGAGCCACTTGAAGAAAAAAATTGTCGAAAAGTGTTCACTTACGTGTACCCTGTTAAAATGTTGAGCAACGTTGATTTGCCCGCGCCCGAAGGACCAAGAATGCAAGACAGTTCCCCGGATCTAAATTCACCCGATACATTGTGTAGTATTCTACGTTCACCTAAAAGGTTAAATCAAATTAACGCAATACGATAGAACGTAAAATTTACTTCAATAATAATAACCAGTCGAAAAGCGGAGGTACTACTTTATGTTAATTCGTGCACGTATTGGTTGAAATTCGACCATGACTTAATAAATTATATTATCAAATATTAATATTATCATCCAACCTGACATTGTTCAAGATTCGTGTTATTATTATTAAACTCTCGTGTCGATCTTTAATCTTTAAAACTGTTTGACAGTTTGAAATTTTATAATTTTCTATTTTGTGTTTGAAATTTGACAGAATCAGTTTAAGTTTTCTGAACTTCTACTGCCAACTGCCTTAGAAGAAGAAGAAGAACTTCTATGTATAATCTTTAAGTATAAAAAGTTTTCTCAGTGGCGCAATTACTAAGCGGCGCCGGGAACTCTTGAATGGTTCTATTCCCACGTGTGAAATATATTTGTATGTGATCCTCAGATGATTACTTTTTTCCAAGGAGGGTTGACGTCCGGCCGCCTTTCGGCCGGTCGTAAAGAGTCTAGCCATTATGCACATTAAGTATTGTTCGCATCTTTTTAAATCCTAAGTACCGAGAAATTGGCATTGCTAACGATGTTCCACTGAACAATTTTTAGTTTCATAAAAGTATCTACCTATACATGTCTCACTGCTGGGCAAAGGCCTCCTCTGTACAGAGAGTATCAGGGCATAATCCACCAAGCGGCCCCACTGATTGGCGGAAATATGCAAGTTTCCTCATCATGTTTTCCTTCACCGCTGAGCACGTGATAAGTCAGCACTTAAAATTAATAATTTCATCGGTGCTATCACCGGGGATCGAACTCAGGTTGCTAGAGTATATTAAATTAAAGAAGAACGCTTGGACACACTATTATACAGCTATCACGGCTCTTATTCATAAGTACAAATCAAACCGAAAATCGAACACTTTCACGTTATTAGCAACTAAGAAATCCGAATGTCATGCTACCAGTGTAAACCGCTGTTCCTTTGATCCCTAAACCTTGAATCAAAAATTCTTCCAATCGGATGACATAGTGATGTTCTATAAATATTTTTTTGTTTTTTACATTTTCTTAGCACCTACCTATACTTAAATTCTTAATAGTATAATCTTAATACGCTTATATTGCCTTGGTGCAGGTAAAGGAAATATAATTAAAACTAATTATAGTTTTGCCCCAAAAAAACTTTGTTCTAATTATTATAAGAGTCTTTTTATCGAATATAATAGTATTTCAAGGCCAATGGAAGTATTTGTGCTGGTTACGGATGTTTTTAGGATTGCCAACTGAAAAAAATAACGTATCACGTATTTTTTAACGAGCGCAAAAAATGTATTTGGAAGAAAAAAGTCAAAGAATCACTATTTATCTCTGTAATATATTCTAACAATGATATAGGTATGTATTTGTATATAAGGTATGTGTATTTATATGCATACTTTTTGTTAACCTTTTTGTATACACATTTTATTATTTACTTACATATTTATAAATATCTTATTAATTTTATTGTAGATAAGTATTTATTTATTTCATTATACATCGGTTATGTATAACAGCTAATACTTGCTCCTAAATTACTTAATTTTTATTCCATCCAAAGGTTGTCTGGAGAAACTACTTTGAGATGGAATAAAAATAAATTAATTTAGATGGAATAATAAGCCTGCCCATTGTAACCATCACTTTTACATAAAATGTTTGATTTTTGTTTATTTCATTTTTGGTGTTCAATAAAGTATATTCATTCAGCATTTTTCAAAGTTTTATTTATTTATTTCACGTTGCAGAGAATACATATTTGTTTTGAGCAATATTATTTTTGTTTTGAGGATCACTGGTTAACCAGTTGTATTGTTTTTCCCTTTCGGGTTTATGTTTTTGTAAGATTTTTGATTTGGTTATTTTAGCTTCTTTTGAGTGGGATCATTGATTGTCACAATCAGAGTTACTCGTCATTTAAAGCAATTGAAATGGTCAGAATTTTCATTAAAACAAATTCTTTAAATGAAAACAAACAAACAAGAACTAATCTTTTCGAACAATTGCTTTCTGCTTCAACTTGGAAGTATCGATAATAGTAATTATCCATATAAGTATTTTATTTAAGACTATTTTCACATACTTTTTTTATGAGAATAATAAAGTATCTTCTTCTTTCTCCCGCCCTTATCCCGAAATAGGTGGGGTCGGCACAACATGGGCTTCATTTATTTTCGGAACCGTGATGTTCTTTCAGTTACCATGTTTGGCAACCCTACTTGTTGTAAAGTGTGAAGCGTATATTGGTGTTTCATTGATGTAACACATGTTACTGGACAATTCGGAGAATCTAACCTTCGTTAAATGTAATGCAACAAATTATTGCGATAAATATCGTTCTCACACGCACAATATATTAGCTAAACAGTAAATATCCTATAAAATTTTCCACAGTTGAAAATAAAGGTAAGTGGAACAAACATCTAAATTTGCATACTTGGTTTGGGTTTTAATGTCAGCCGTAGCAATATCAAGAATTAGGTATATGTAGAAAATAATATGAATACGGTTTGTGTCTTTCTTTGGAGATCAGAAAGCGTAAGAGACGGCACGTGTCCTCCATCCACGATGACTAATAAATATATTTGGAAATAACAGTGAGCTATGGAACAAAATGTTGGAAAATAAAATGTATATCATAGAAATGCAAATCATTTAGAAGCATGCTATGTGTGCCCCAAAATTGGGAATTTGGACGAAGTGTCTATTGCATTTGCTAAGATCGTGGTTTGATAAAAGCCTCAATATTTGAGATACTAGCTTTTCGCCCTCGGCTTCGCTCGCGTTGAAGCCGTTAAATAAATATCAAGATATTTTTAACCCTTTAAAACACTTTTTTCCAATTAAAAAATAGCCTATGTCTTTTCTCAGGCTCTAGACTATCTGTGTACCGAAATTCATTTAAATCGGTTTAGTAGTTTTGCTGTAAAAGCGAGACAGACAGACAGAGTTACTTTCGCATTTATAATATTAGTATGGAAGTATGGATTGCTATGGCTATGAATCCACTATTTCCCTAGGCATTACAAAATAATGCCTAGTTTGATTAACTAGTTTTGAATTATTATTAATAAAAATTAGAATATGTAATAATAAGATTAGAAAATTAAAGTTTGATTAACAGGGATATAAATCCTTTTTGGTTAAATACGTAATAACTTCATGTCTGGTTACTAGTAATTATATAAACCTAATTAACTCAATGAATTGGAAGAATAGTACCAAATATACACAATTTAAATCACCAATATTAAAACCTCTTCTTTTATTTCCATCGGTAAGAAGAAAATTTAAGAAATGGGCATAAATATGATTTCATTTACCTGTGTAAGAATTGACACTGTACTCGACGTTATTGAAGAGGATGTTGACCGGTGGTCGCTTCGCAATACTCTTTAGAGCTTTCAAAGAACATTCAGCTTGTAAAATGTCCTCTGCATCTCTTGATGTAATAACATCTCGTTTGTTAGGCAAAACGTCCATAGATACCGAACAAGTGGCCTCACCCATTAATTTCGCCATTCGACTCGGAGAAACGTAACTATAATATTCAACAATTTTCCATCACATAACTAATTTTCATATCATTTACAAAAACAAATTATTAAATGACTTTCAGCTATTGATAAATAAACTAAAATTATTTTATGTTTCGATTCTTCGTCTCAATAAAATCACACGCTTAAATCGTTCAAAAGTCTTCGAAGAACTAAACGCGAACTGATTTTATTAAACATATTCCAATGCCATTGGTCGTATTAAAAATACGATCCGCATTTATGTATCCTTCTTTGTTTTTAACAGTGGTGTGAAAATAATAATAATAATACCTACCGCTCATATGTTAATAATTTTATAATTTGAAGCAAATAATAAAAGTATTAGATTTTAAAGAAGCAACAGGTTTGATATATTAAAAGAAACGATTTTGTGCCTCTATAGCTTTGCGTACACCACTTATATAAATCCAATACAATGACTTTTTGAAGTTATACTTCTTTCAGGAAGGAATTATTACTGTTTGGAAATAATTACGAGAGTATTTTTTTACGATGCGCGCGCATACTGTCATCGACGTGATAAAGTTGGTTGTAAAGAACCTTCACGATATTATACACCACGGTATAACCACTAAGAAATTTTTGTTATTTCCCTATAACTACCTATAATCATTGTGTCTTATCATCAGTAATAAAATCTATGCCAAAACTAAGCAAGACATAATAGAATTAGTTACTAATTCGGCGTGGTTGGAATTTAACCACGCAATAATTGATGACTGAATGGAAATGACCAAGTCTCCGAATGTCGTTCAAAGCTTTAGTGTTTACCCATTCGTTTTCGCAGGAATCAGCAAACTGTTTCTCTTCGGTACTCTATGTATTATTAAACTAATTGAACACTAAGTTTCTTGGCCATAACCATCCAGAACGAGTTCTGAGATCTGCTGGACAACGGATTCTAGCACCATGCGTACAAGACTATACTATTATGAAAACTCCATTACAGTCAAGGCCATCTGCTTGTGGAATGAACTTCCTCAGCAAATTGGTCGTGCGCAGATGCTAGGCAAGTTTCAAAATGATGTAAAAATTGTAATTCATAAATTTCATTGACAATATTCAGATTTAATTCTTCTCTCGTGGCCTTGTCTATGTTGTTGAAGTATTTTTATTATATTTTAGTGTATTTTATAAAGTTTTAGTTGTCATTTTATATGTATACCGGGCACTTTTAATATACCTCTCTCCTCCTGCTCCGTCCCGGACATCTGAAACGAGATACGTGTACATCTGATAACTGCATCAGCAAATTATTATCAGTGATAGGCCACGCAGCAGCCTCGGCTGTTGCACGAATGGGACTAGCTAAAATCAAAAAGTCCTTTCTTGGTAGAGGCATTAGTTTATATAAAAAATAGGTTCAACTGTGGTAGGGCCACGCAACAGTTTCCACTGTGGCACGAATGGGCAGATCCGTCCGGATAAGTACCATGATCTCACAGAACACCAGCGTAAAGTGGAAGTATGACAAATTAGCTGCTACCCGCGACTACGTCTGCGTAGAATAGGCTGAAGGCGTAACATTCAGATAGAAAGACAGATATACATAATATATGTATAAAAATTATAGCCTATGTCTTATTCTGATGTACAAGCTATGTTATTGTAAAGTTTCATTAAAATCCATGCAGTAGTATTTGCGTGAAAGAGTAACCAACAACCATCCATACATACAAACTTTCGCGTTTATAATATTAGTAAGGATACTACTTCGCGTTTCGCCTGGTAAGCGAGGTAGCCGGAGCCAAATTTTAAAAAGGTTGTCAACGCATCTGTAACCCTCGGGTGTAGCAGATGTCCATGGGCGGCGGTATTCACTTACCATCAGGTGAACCGTCTGCTCGTTTGGAAACTTTTCACATAAAAAAAAATCATACCACATCCTCAATTTTTTGTCCAATGACCTTATTCTGTTTGAATAATTCAGCTTCTCTCAAGAACATCAACAGTTTCTCTTTTAAAAAAGATCAGTTTACAATATAACAATGGTACACGTACAATAGTCTTATTTAACCCTACGTGAATATCAACAGTATTAACTTCACAAATTGGCGTTGTCGAGATATTCCGCTATGGCATAATATGCTTTAACCATAAGTTCACTTTAAATTTTGCATTTAAATTGATCAAGTGGTTAATACTGACTGTGGAATTTTATTATACATACAGTTTGGTGGTCCAGTGTCGGTTTGATTCATCACTGATTTTTACAAAACAGCATGAGGATTTCTGCAGTTGTGTACTGTGAATAACTGAATCATGTTTCATGGACCTCCTAAGTGTGTGCTAAAAAGTTTTGATCCAGATGAATGAGATGTTGGTGTAAATATGTATCCAGTATTTGTCGAACGAAAATGGGCACTGGGACATTTTTTAAACAATTAACAAATCTAATATATGTAATAAGCGTGACATGCATACGTGAATCACAACGTAATAACATACAAAACAATTTTCATTTTATACAATGTACTCGCGGAGAAACATACTTTTTTAAAAGATTAATAAAAACGAAATTGCAGATGTGGCTGTAATTATTTTTTAACATTACTATCTTATTAAATGAAACTAATTTACGGATTTTATCGCGTTTTTTATTTTGATTTGAACTCCCGACGTTTCGAACCCTTTCCAGCGGTCACGGGACAGACTATTACTATATTTTTAATACATTAGAATTTATTTTTCATACATTTTTAAAAATTGCTTGTATCAATTGACGGTCGCCGTGGTCTATGCACTAATCGGGTCAATTTCTGAACTTTCGCGTCACTCTCTGAAACATGTCCACCAGGATTTTGGCTATAGCGTTCCGTATGTTTGTCTTCAGCTGAACTAGAGTCCGTGGTCGATCGTTGCAAACGATAGGAATAAGCTCGCTCTTCTGGAGACCGCGCTAGCCAAGACCGCTCGTGTTCAAAAATAAGGCCCAATGATTCCGACTGAGGAAATTGCGTAGCAAGGTCACAATGGTACAGGTTTTGTTGAAGTTGAAGTGGATTTTCTTGAATCCAGTAATGCAAGTTCTGTTTGTTGACACAGCCAGAAAGGTGAAAGTGGTTCTCATTGGTGAAAGACGTTACAGCGTTGCGGGGAAAGGCTTCTCATGGAGCGCTAAACTCCAGCCACGAATTCGCGGTCAATCAACTCGTTTACACAGAATTTGCACGGATGAAGTGGGAGTTCATTGTGAAAGATTCGTCACCGCATGTTTGTGAGCAGAACGGCAGGGGGACTGCAAAAATGAATGTCTCTCTTTGCCAACGTTTACCGGAGTCCTGGGCGTTTTCAAAAAAGAATTGAATTATTTTTTGAAAACCTGAAGCGCGATCCAAAGGCACTTCGCATGGTAACAATGGAGCGGCCGTTACTAGACTATGCCTCAACGCGCAATGCTCTGTTGTTCAAAACTAAAAACAAAACTATCGTGACTGTGTGGAAATAAATTGAGTACCTACCCTCTCGTACGCAGCCCTTGAATCCTTGTCGTTTGGGGATTTAAAAAAAGTTTCTCTGCCGTTTGAAACTTACTTTTTGCTTTTACCCGTACATATTTTTACGGTGGTAGAGCCACGCAGCAGCTTCGGCTGTTGCACGAACGGGCAGGCTCGTCCGGATAAGTACCACGACCTCACAGAAGACCGGCGTAAAGTGGAAGTATAATACTTTCGCGTTTCGTCTGGTGAATGAGGTGGCCGGAGCCCAATTCCCATAAAGGTTGTCAACGCATCTGCAACCCTCGGGTGTAGCAGATGTCCATGGGCGGCGGTATTCACTTAACATCAGGTGAACCGTCTGTTCGTTTGGCCACCTTTCACATAAAAAAAAAATATATTAATTTAGGTTTTTACTTAAGCGTTAACTTACCTATACATTGTAAATATCAGTCAATTCATTATTATTTCTGCCTTAAACGTATTTCGACCAATAAGAACTTATAATTAAACTTGAACGACGAACTATTCGTTTATGATAGGCTGTAACCCCGTTAATATGTAGTACCGAAACACAGTAGATTTAAAGTTATATTGCAAGAAAGGAAGCAGTTTAACTTGTTTTTGTCTAAGGTTTAAGCAGTTATAACAGCCGTGCAAAAATATTAATTTAAAATATTAATTTTATTTTATGAATTTTCTTTCGCTAGCTTATTATTTTACATGTAATTATAGCAAGTGGTTTTTCTGTCCACATAGGTACCCAGCGAATTTGGGCATTATCAGTAGAATATGGGCAGTGACCCTGCCTATTGCGACAGTGGGTGTGGGTTCTGGAAAAGTGTAATGAATATAGCGTTTTTCCAGTGTCAGTTGTTTATACATTTATAATATGTATTTATTTAAAAAGAAAAGTGTGCTTAAGTGTGTTTATCGGTTATTTAGTAGCATTGCTTACTTAGGGACTAGAAAACGTTATATAAAAATGTGTCCTGAAATGTCTATTTATTGATTTATATCATTTTTTTTTAAAGTCGTCGAACTTTTTGTTTACGATTGTCCCAAGGCTCACGAACTCATCACATAAAACTTATATAAATTTATACACCGTGAAAGAGAAGCCCTTTGAAATTAGAAGACCCGAATTCTTATTTTAAAAATGCCGTCGCAAACAAGGCAAAATATTATAATGGCATAATGGAATTTTCTTGAATCATATCAACGAACACATAAAATATTATGTAATGTAAATTGCTGCTTGTCATAGTGTTTTGAGAATGATTTTGGGAACGATTCTCCGCTTTAGAAGTGTGTATAATTTTATATAGATATATATAGATATATATAGATATTAGACATTACACATGACATAAGCTTTTTCTTAAATTCATTGACAGTAACTTCATCTGCACAGAAAACAATATTCTGTTTTAATGAATTCAAATATTTACAAAATATTTATTTGAAAGTTATATTCAATATACTTATACAATACTATAATGGCTTTTGTTAAACAAATTTTGTT